TTTTTGCCAATCTTATTTGTATTTGGTGCATTTTTTAAAAACATATCCATCTCAAAGAAGTAGTTTAAAACCTCTTTTAAAAAATCAACAACTTGTTCTTGTTTTTTCTTTCAAATTTCTTTTTCCTCAATCAACTTTATCTGTAGTGCATAAGTGATCCAGTTTTTTACCCCTCCTATATTTGCATGCAACTATTCTCTTTATATGACAGGTTTAAACTTATTGTAAACTACTGCCACTTCCATATTTTTATGTGTGCTGTAGTTCTCCTAACATCATTATGTTCATTTATGGAGCTTCCCTTACCATTTCCTCCCGTATTGAATAATCAGCTGTTTCCAAGTAATTAAGCATCTCTCCAACAATTTCTTCAGCATTAGTTTTATCACACATGGCATATAACAAATCGACAGCTCTCTGTCGGACACTCACATCTCTTTCAGTCTGAAAAACAGATATTCAGATGTTAAAACTCATTGTGAGATACTTCAGGGAGAAGATATAAATTAAGATACAGAGCAAACAATTAATTTGCAAGTGTTATTTTTCTACTGAAAAGAAACAAGTATAGATATCACTACGATACATTAATTTGCAATGCGATAAAAATTATAACACAGTGGAACACACATTATTGTAACATATATATTTGTCATACTTGAAAAAAAAATGCATATGTATTAGACATAACTCTGGCTCTTATAAAAAGTTCACTTTGTTTTCCATTTCATATTTAATTCAGGTGACCTATTTAAATCAACCAAACACATTTGTATATACAGTTTTACTAACACATTACTTTCACCTGTTTTTAGTTGTAAGTCCGATTGTTTTGTTATTGAAACAACTCATCAGTTGATTTGCTTACGAGTAAAAGCAGAAAATGCATTTTATTCTTTACTACTCTGAAGCACTGAATAGAAGTTATGAACTTTAGTTTGTACACTTTTAATACATTACATTTATTACCTATCAGTGTAATATACAATGCTTGGGAGTAGCTGTCACAAGAAGAAGTGGAAGGTGGCATTTATATTTTAATATATTAATAATAAAGCAAAGGGTGTACAAAAATAATGAAAGAAAATCTCAGTTCTTACTATCAGAAGGAAAACGTTATTAGCCAAAACAATAAAGGTATTACTGTAAAAGGATGTTTCTCATGAAACTCTTCAAAGAAGTGCATAAAAATAATAGTGTGACCATAATATCAATGATGGTAACTAACAGTGTCTATTCTTTGATAAGGGCAGCTAAAAGCTGCGAAATAACTCTGGTGGTGGATGCCTTGCAGAGTGACATACCTTCTGAGAACCTCGTAGATGTGCTCAATAGAGTTAGGTTTAAGGACTATGTAGGACAGTCCATCCTCTCAATTTCATGGATATATGAAGACAAACTTTTCCAATCAAGGATGGAGAAATCACCTACAGTTTCAGCATGTGAACATACATAATAATTGTACATGTCATCTCTCTGTATCTTAACCCACTCTTGGAACATCTCAAGACCAAGAGACCTGTACAACTATTAATATCAGCTACGTACACTCATCTATAAGATGACCTTTCCTCAGAGCAACCAGCCAGATAAACCTTCATTTGTGTCTCGGAGCTTTTATACTTTTTGCATCATTCTCCTGACTGACTATTGATGGATCTTTGAATAGAACATTAGACCACTTGGTATAATCCCATTTGATATTTTCTTCACACTGCCTTCTACACTCTCTATAAAATACCTTACTTAAACACATCAAATTAAGGGTCTGGTTGTTGTAGGAGATGTTAGCTGCCTATCTTTTACTGACATAATAAATAGATAAGGCCCTAGTTTGATGTTGTAGTCCCAGGATGACCTGCCCTACGACTCTATGCTATTTCCTGTCTGCCGAAATCGAGTCAATATCCTGTTCATAACACCCGCTGAGAATTCTGGTCATTCAGTAACCACACTTAGACTTTGACAAGCTTCAAGCCTTTCAATTGCACAGCACATATTTCTCTCTAGAACCTCATGAATAGTATCAATAGTTTTTATTTCATAAAACTTTTATTTTTTACACTCAATGTAGTGTAATCATTAATGTACATTGAAAAAAAAAGTTTAAAATTATGAAATAAAACAAATAAATTTTTTCCTCTGTACTGACTTCACTATTGATATAAATGAAGTTCCAAATTACAGTCTCAACTGCTAACATTTTCATTGCTAATTCTATGGTTTTATTGCTATGCATTGTAGTTGTATCCAATGAGGTAGTAATTGCCACATGAAAAGTAATAAACCACAGTAGGAGCCCATTAGCTTTTTCCTATAGAGCTAAAGTAATATGTGATTGCGAGGTGTCCTGTTACATAGGGTTGAGATAGTGTAATTTTAGACACTTTGATAGGCTAAGCTGAGAAGTTTGAAAATTTTACATTTTAGTTACACACACATATATATATATATATA